TCCTTGATCTTTCAGCGGCTTTCAATAGGTCAACCGCAATGTCCTTCTGAACCGGCTGTGGGGGTTAGGATTGGGAGCCCCGTTGGTTCTTCTCCTTGCTCAGCAGTCAGCTGCGGTCAGTGTTGATTGGAGGAGGAGGAGGAGGGAGGAGGAGGAGGAAGAGGAAGAGGAAGAGAAAGAGGAGGACTGTTGGGTCTTTGCTGCTATCTGAGCTTGGTTTTTTAGTTGCAGACATTTCATGACCCAACTTGGTAACATCATCAGTGCCAGAATGGAGTGGGCTTTGCACAATCCCCACTCCCTTCTAGCACTGATGCGGTTCCCTAGTTGGGTCATGAAATGTCTGCAAAGAAACCACCCAGCTCAGAGAGCACCAAGGACCCCACAGTCTTCTTCTTCCTCCTCCTCCTCCTCCTCCTCCTCCTCCTCCTCCTCCTCCTCCTCCTCCTCCTCCCCTCCCCACAAACTCCACTCCCTTCTAGCATTGATGATGTTCCCTAGTTGGGTCATGAAACATCTGCAAGGAAACCACCCAGCTCAGAGAGCACCCAGGACCCCACAGTCCATCCTTCCTTCCGCCCTCCTCTTCCTTCCCTCCTCTTCCTCCTCCTCCTTCTCCTCCTCCTCCCTCCACTCAGCAAATCACCCCTCCCTTCTGGCACTGATGACGTTCCCTGGTTGGGTCATGAAATGTCTGCAAGGAAACCATCCAGCTCAGAGAGCACCAAGGACACCACAGTCCTCCTCCTCCTCCTTCTGCTCCTCCTCCCTTCTACTACTGATGATATTCCCTAGTTGGGTCATGAAATGTCTGCAAGAAAACAGCCAAGCTCAGAGAGCACCAAGAATCCCACACTCCTCCTCCTCCTCCTCCTCCTCCTCCTCCTCCTCCTCCTCCTCCTCCCTTCTAGCCCTGATGATGTTACCTAGTTGGGTCATGAAACGTCTGCAAGAAAAAAACCCAGCTCAGAGAGCACCAAGGACCCCTCATTTCAACCCTGAGTTACAAATATTCTCTCCTACTAGCAGGTGGATCTCAAGAAGGGGTCCTGTCACGCTGCTCATGGGGAAACCCACCCTAGGACCCTCCCAAAGTAGCCTTCTGGTCAGCCACAGGAAGCAGGACCTCTTCCCAAAGTTTCCTTCAGTGGAAAAATTAGGGAAGTTTGAGTTTGCTTAGTTTGGGTTGAGCAGTGTTGTAAGCACAGCAGAGCAAGCTGGTCCGGCCTCTGCACAGCAGAGTAGAGATAAGAAAGTAGCACATGTTTATCTAAAATGTCCTTTGCCTGCTTATCTTCATGCCTGACACCTGCCCTGTAACCGATGGCCTGCTGGGATTCTGCCTCTTTCTTCCCGTGGAGTAGATAGAGCCCGTCTCTTGCGGTGGGAGGGGGCCTTTCATTGTGAAGAGGTCCTCTCTGGCCCTGCCCAGGCTCTGCTGACCCTCACAAGGAAACCCACTTGAGGCTTAATGTTGGGCTCCTAGCCATGACTGAGTAGATGAATGGATCGTGATCCATTCTATTCCAAAACCAGACAAGATGGGCTTCAGGGGCTGTTTTATCTCCAGCACTTCCTGCTTCCTCTCCCATAGAGAGCCGAAGCCGGGAGAGAGAGAGAGAGAGAGAGAATGGCTCCCATAGACCAGTCTTTCTCAAGCACAAGTTCAGCATGCTGGCCAGGGAATTCTGGGAGTTGAAGTTCACATGTGAGGCACAAGAAACCAGGAGCCAGGATAGAGTTCAGAAGCACTGCAAGTTTATTCCATGCAACCTAAACACAGGAATCTGATCTGCTAACGGTCAGGGCAAATTGGCACCAGATAAGGCTCAACAGACTTCAAGAAGCCTCTTTTGGGGGTGTGGGGACTCCAGACTGATGATGCATTTGACCCCATCCTCATCTCCCACATCAGCATCTTAAAGGTGCTGGGGATGAGAAACGTCTATGGGGATTCCCTATCATCCAGGCTACGGTTGTCCCAAAGGTGTTTTTTTCCAAATTTCTTTGAAAATGTTTTCCAATTTCTTCGAAAATGTTTTTCTCCTCATCCTTGAAGCTTCCTCAGTTCTCAATTCAGTTCTGTTCTTCAGAACTGAAGAAGCATCTTGGATGAGAAGCAAAATGTTTTCAAAGAAAAAAAAACAAGAAACTCCAGTCGCCTTTTTGGAAAAGCACCTTTGGGACCAGGATGGGAAACGCGGGCGTGGAAGGAAGAGGGCGCTGGGACTGAGAGGCCAGCAGGAGAAAGCTGGGGAGCTGCAAGGCAACACGGGGTCCCCACACCAGCAGACAAACACCCAGAGGGCCTACTGGATGCCAGGAAGAGCTCTTCCAGGAAGAGACGAGGCCTTGTGGAGTAGATCAGGTGCATAAACAAGGTCAGACCAGGAGGGTCAGCTGTGAGACGCTCCCAGCTGCCTCTTGTCATCCCCAGTGACGGCGCCTGATTCACAGGAGAAGCTGGTTGGATTTTATTTTGGGTTTTGTTTGCTTGTTTGTTTGCTTTTTGGCTAATCAGTCACTTACTGTTTCACAACTGGAGCTTCACTCCTGTCCTCTCTCTGTGGCCAACCTCCTCCACGGGCTTTTTAGTGCTGATCTAGCAAACCCCTTTGTCCTCCATGCGCCTCCATTCCACGCCATCCATTCCCGGCCCACTCTCTCGTCTGGCTTTTGGGACCCATCCTCAAACCCCTGGGTGGAGTAAGCCCTCCCAGGAGGGCCAGGCATCAGAAGAGACGCTGGAAGCCCACTGTGTTGAGAAAGGGCTAAAATAACCAGATTTAAAAAGCCTGGCCGGATCTCATATTCCCTCCCACTTCTTCCTCAACCCTCCTGGTTTTCTGAGGTCAGTGGACGATCTTCTAATGGCTGCGCCAGCCGTTTCCTTCCAGCCCCTCTCCATGGGTCTCCATTCCTGGTAGCCAGGGAACAAAGGTGGGAGGACTGAACCACAACACAAGGACTCTTCTTGGGTTCCAAAAGCCAAGGAGGCTTCACGGGAGAGAAGCCCCCCTTTATAAAGCCTTAATAAGACCATGCTTAGAATACTGTACCCCATATTGGTCGCTGCAATATAAAAAAGATGTTGAGACTCTGGAAAGAGTGCAGAAAAGACCAACAAAGATGATTAGGGGGATAAAACATATGAAGAACGGTTGTGGGAACTGAGTATGTCTAGCTTAATTGAAAAAAGGACTAAGGGTGATATGATAGCAGTCTTCCAATATCTCAGGGGCTGCCCCAAAGAAGAGGGAGTCAAGCTATTCTCCAAAGTGCTTGAAGGCAAGAAACAATCGATGGAAACTAAAGGAGGAGAGAAGCAACTTAGAAATAAGGAGAAATTTGCTAATGCTGAGAACAATTAACCAGTGGAACAGCTTGCCTCCAGAAGTTGTGGGTGCTCCATCACTGGAAGGTTTTCAAGAAGATGCTGGACAGCCACTTGCCTGTGATGATATAGAGTCTCCTGTTTGTGCAGGGGGGTTGGACTAGAAGACCTTCAAGGTCCCTTCCAACTCTGCTATTCTATTATTCTGTTGTGCGATGGACACAAAGTCCCAGGGGGTGTGAAGGTCTGCTGTGCAGGGGAATTTGAGCAGGGGCATCTGCTTCAGGCTCATCAGCCTTATTGGGAGAGGGGTTTCTCACAGGGTTCATTCACACATTTTCAACATACAGGAGTTCAGGACCCCCATAGCAAGGACATTTTCATGGGAATATGCAGCACAAACAGACTCTATGATAATTTTGAAAGTGTTTTAATTACAAAAGTTGAAGCATTTTTCTCCCTCTTGTTCTCATACTCACTTGCTCTGCTACAAGGATGGCCAGGGAGTGGTCAACGCGGTCTCTGGGCTTCAGGACCGACAGACCTGGCTCACCCTGAGCTGCTCTCCACAACCGATAGGCTGCCTGTGGAAGGGTCACAAACACAGCAGACGACAGCAAAGGGCACACCGTCTATGGAGAACTGCAGCCCTTCTTCTCCTTGAAGCAGTTGGTGCCTTTCTCCGGGGGGGGGGAAGAAAGGAGGGGAGGTGGGCTCTGCCTCCCATGGACCCCTGGCCTTCCGGACCAACAGCCACCCTCATCTAGAGATGGGCTGCAAGGGGAGAGTTGCAGATGGCAATACAAGAGTCACGTGTCAGAGAGGTTGGCTTTGGTTTCAGTTCTGGCTGAAGAAGGACCACCAGGAGGGGACATTTCCCCTCCTGAGACATTTCTCCACCCAGGTCCAAATCTTGATGTTGAAAAAAAGAAGAGGATTAATTGTGGAAGCTAGTTGATCTACTACTGCTTAAAGTGATTGTTAATTGTGGCCTTACTGGTTGGTTAGGATATTGGTGGACCCCAAGATGACAACCTCCCTCCAAATCTCTGCTGGGTGACAGATCTTCTTTGGGAGGAGACCCCTTTGGCCCACAGCTGCAACAGGTCAGGAGGCATCAGGAAGAAAAGAGTCTGAGTACCCTGTCCCGGATCCTCTTGGTCCGTACGCCGTAGATGACGGGGTTCAGCGTAGGAGGAACCACGAGGTAGACGTTGGCAATGAGGATGTGGACAGAATGGGGGACGTTGTGGCCAAAGCGGAGGGTGAGGAAGGAGAAGACAGCCGTTGTGTAGAAGACGAGTATGACACAGATGTGTGAGCTGCAGGTGCCCAGGGCCTTGAAGCTAGCTTCTCTGGAGGGCAAGTGGCAGACGGTGCGCAGGATCAGGCCGTAGGAGAGGCTGATGAAGCAGACATCGAAGCCTCCAATCAGGAAAGCCAAGGTGAGGCTGTAGCCCCCGCTGGCCGCCGTATCCGCACAGGCCAGTTTCAGCAGAGCCATGAACTCGCAGTAGCTGTGGACGATGACCTTGGACTTGCAGAAGGGCAGCCGCCCCACCAGGAACGGGTGTGGGAGGAACAGCACCAGCCCCCGAGCCACCAC